GTTATTAACCTAGTGGCCTTTTCTCTGGAGTAGAGGATTTCTTGGCATAAAAGGGAACCTATTGTAAGTTGCTTCTAGAGGGGCTGTGGAAGAGAGATTTGACACTCAGTCCCTTATATTCACTACTGCTAGATCCTCATTTACCAGATGAGGACACAGGCTCATTTTAGTCACTTGCCTAAAAATCACCTGCACGTATAAGGAACAAAGTAATTTGAAGCCAGGTCTGTCTGGCTGTAAAGTCCTTAACCACCATGCTGCTATCTCTGCCAAGAATTCCTGTTCAAAGCAGGCTTCCCATTTACTAAAACACATACCGCTGTTTATCAATTTTTGGTGGCTTACACTGGCTCAGGTCTCTGCTCCTTTTGTGAGTGGATGAATTAACGAACAAATAATGTTAAGAAAGGCATAATGGGTCCGTCCAGTGTAGCTCAGTTGGTTGAGGGTCGTCCCGTGCACCAAGAGGTCAATGGTTCGATTCCTGGTCAGGACATAATCCCCAATAGGGGGCCTTGCAGGAGGCAGCCAATTGATTTTCTCTGTCAGCTTTGATGTTTCTCTCTCTCTCCTCTCCCTTCCTCTCTCTCCTCTCCCTTCCTCTTTCTCTAAAATCAGTAAAAACATATGTTTTTTTAAAAAGGCATATGGATGAAACATGCTATAAATATTGCTGAGATTTTCTGTGTAGAATACATATATGCACATGGATTCCTCTTTCTTGAGATTGATGTAGCAATGCCTGCTTACCATTTCTGATTTTTTAAAAAATGAAATTATCTTTAAAATATAGTGTGTGCATATGTATGTGTGTATGTAGATAAATATAGAGATATATGCATGTGTGTGTATATATATATATATATAGTGTGTATATTATACAGGGTAGGGAAAAGGTAGGTTTACAGTTGTATGTGAAACAGAGTTTATTCTTGTATTATTATTATTTATTAATTATTGTATTATTTTCCATGCAAAAAAAACATAAACCTACTTTTGCCCCACCCTGTATGTGTATATGCATATAGTTTATGTATGCATACATATAAGTGTGCATATATGTGTGTGTGTGTATATATATGTATAATTGATGATAATACACACACATTTGGTTTCCATGCTCCCTACCTTGCCATCAGTTAATTCGAACCTTCTATAAGCACTGGGTCTCATGTTCCAGACTTTGGGCATGTGTCTCTGCTGGCAAATGGCATAGCTGAGCCTGGGGCTCAGACTGTATTATTGAGAAGAAGCTTCTCTCTTGACCTGTACATGAGTGTGTGAACTGTGCTAACTCCATGTTCTCTGCAGGTGTTAGCTGAGGTCCTCACTGGCATCCCTGCGATGGATCACGACCGAAGCCCAGTTTACCTGGTAAGGAAACCAGTCACTTCTGGCTGGTTGGTATGTTTGGGCCTCACAGCCACGAGGGGTCAGGAGGGGACCCATTTTACAGATGCTAATGAAGTCTCAGACCAGGGTTTGATTTGCATCTGTGCAAAGTAGCTTTAATCTCCCATACCCACCTGCCAGCTAACAATTACTTTTTCATGATATAATAGAATTTAGAATGTTTAAGGAAAACTCATTTCTTCTCTCTACACATTAGGCAGTCAAATAGGGTTGTCCTCAAATTGGTAAGTTAGTTTCAGGCTTTTTAACTGGGTTTCTATAATAAATTCAATAACTTCCATATTTGATAGGTTCAAAGAACTATCATAGGTATAGTGTCATTTCAAAAATATAACAACACAGCTTGACTCTAGCACCTTTCATAAATTATCTTCCTTTTCTTTTTTTTTAAAGATATGTTTTTATTGATTTCAGAGAGAGGAAGGGAGAGGGAAATATAGAAACATCAGTGATGAGAGAGAATCATTGATCGCTGATGAGCAACTTCTTGGTTTCTGGATCGACACTCAACTACTGAGCCACACAGGCCAGGCCCATAAATTACCTTTCTAAGTCATCTCAGAATCCCTATGAGATTGATAGAGGCATTATGCTCACCTGTAGATGAGGACAGCCAGCTCTGCGGTTTGCCTGAAATCTCAGCTGTACTGCATGTCAGAGCAGGAATTCTGAGTCAGGTCTTCTGGATTGCAGATCCTGGAGTTCTCAACCCTGACACTTTTGACTGTTTTATTCCCATGGAAGTCCAACCATATGAATTCAGTAGTATCATCATCCCCATTTTACGGATGAAAAAAACCAAGGCCAAGGTGAAGAGACTTGTCTCATGCTCCTCAGTGAGAACAGTGGTCAAATGGATTTGAACCCATGTCTTTGGCAGAGATCGAAATTCTGGCAAGCTCTGTCCCTCTGCATCAGTTTGAGAGGGGCACCCCTTTTCTGACTTGATGTTGAGGCCAGTGGAGCAGCTGGCTTTTTGTGACTGGGCCCCATTAGCATTCCCCGAACTTTAGGGTGGAGAGCTGAAGGCCTCCCCTATACACAGTCACAACTCGTCCCTATACTGAGCTCTCTGAGCTCCGCCCCCTTTGGGCACCGAGCTCCAGATACCACAAAAGGTCAGTTTAAGCAGCTTGGATGTGGTTTGGGTAGTTTGGGGCAGTTTCTCATCTCCTGACAGTTTTCTCGAGATGCATTTCTCAGCAGTCCTCTGGGGCTCCCTGGGTGAATGTCACAGCAGAAAGAGGCTTTGGAGGCATTTCTGTGAAGTTTGCTAGAAGGTTTTTTCTGTTAATGGTTTCTAAAATGTGAAGGATATCACTGATTAAAAAACCTAGTTTTGCCCTGGCTGGTGTGGCTCAGTTGTTTGGAGTGTCATCCCATACACAGAAAGGTGGTGAGTTTTTTTTTAAGTTTTTTAAAATATATTTTATTGATTTTTTTACAGAGAGGAAGGGGGGGGGATAGAGTGTTAGAAACATCAACATCGATCAGCTGCCTCCTGCACACTCCCCACTGGGGATGTGCCTGCAACCAAGGTACATGCCCTTGACCGGAATCGAACCTGAGACCCTTGAGTCGGCAGGCTGATGCTCTATCCGCTGAGCCAAACCGTTAGGGCAAAAAGGTGGTGAGTTTGATTCCTAGTCAAGGCGCATGCCCAGGTTGCGGGTTCTGACTTGATGTTGGTTGACAGGAGGCCGCCAATTGATGTTTCTCTCTCTCCCCTGACTCCCATTCCATTCTATGGGTAGGCATGGCTAGTTCCTAAAAGCCCTTTTTATTATGGACAATTTCAAATGTAAAGAAAAGAATATAGCCAAAACCGGTTTGGCTCAGTGGATAGAGCGGACTGAGAGGTCCTGGGTTCGATTCCAGTCAAGGGCATGTACCTGGGTTGCGGGCACATCCCCGGTGGGGGATGTGCAGGAGGCGGCTGATCGGTGTTTCTCGCTCATTGATGTTTCCGGCTCTCTATCTCTCTCCCTTCCTCTCTGTAAAAAATCAATAAAATATATTTTAAAAAAAAAGAAAAGAAAAGAATATAAAGAATATTTGTATATCCATCCCATCAGTTAACAAATCATGTTGTTCTTATTTCTTTGCACCCCCCCAAAACTTTGTGTGTGTGTACTTTATTTATTTATTTATAATAGATTTTTATTGATTTCAGAGAGGAAGGAAGAGGGAGAGAGAGATAGAAACATCCATGATGAGAGAAGATCACGGATTGGCTGCCTCCTGCAAGTCTCCCACTGGGGATTGAGCCCACAACCCGGGCATGTGCCCTTGACTGGAATCGAACCTGGGACCTTTAAGGTCCCTGGCTGACACTCTGATGGCGAACCTTTTGAGCTCGGCATGTCAGCATTTTGAAAAACCATAACTTAACTCTGGTGTCGTGTCACATATAGAAATTTTTTGATATTTGCAACCATAGTAAAACAAAGATTTATATTTTTTATATTTATTTTATATATTTAAATGCCATTTAACAAAGAAAAATCAACCAAAAAATGAGTATGACACGCGTGTCATAGGTTCACCATCACTGCTCTATCCACTGAGCCAAACCGGCGAGGGCTGTGTGTGTGTACTTTAAAGTAAATTCCAGATATTGTGTTATTGCATCCATATAATAGTTTTCTAAATTTTTAAATATTATTTAATACCATTCTATATTTAGAATTCCCAAATCATCTCAAAAATTGCTATTTTATTTTTAAAATATTTTATTGTTTAAAGTATTACATGTCTCCTTTTTCCCCCATTGACCTCTCCCCGACCGTTCCCACCCCCCTCAAAAATTGATTTTTAAAAGTTGTTGTGTTTGAAACAGATCCAGGCAAGCTCCATATTTGCCTTTGGTTATGTTTCTTAAGACATTTTTATTCTCTAACTGTACCTCTCCCTCCTTTTCTTTGTGTGTATCATTGCATTTCTGCAGAAAGTGGGTCATTCTTCCTATGGACTCTCTACGTCCAGCTTCTGGTGATTACGTCCTTGCGGTATCCTTGTTTCTCTATTTCTCATGCTTCCTGTACAGTGTAGTCAGCTCTGAGACTTGGTCAGGTTCATGATTAGTGATACTTCCTGGATGGTGCTGTGTACTTCCCGTAGCATGGCAACACGAGGCACGAGGCACGTAGCAGATGGTTCTACTTTCAGTGCTGAGCTTCCTCAGTGGGTTCAGGTGGATGTGCTGATTCCTTCCATTACTAAGTTCCCCCAGCACCCTGCCCTGAGTGTTCTCAGCTTCTCTGTGACTGTTGCTAGATGAGATCCATGATTTTGTTGTGGGTAGTCAAATGGTGAGCATCTCCATCTGTCATTCTTTTCAGGGCATTCACTTTGGACATGGTGGACACCTTCATATCTGTAAACAATACGCTTTTTAAAGGAACAAACATTTAAAAGGCAGAACTCACACGAGAGAATTATACAAAAGGGTATTCAAATATGCAGCCCTTGCCAGCGAGAAGTTTTTAGTCTCCAGGCATTCAGCTTCTGATGGGGTCAAGCATTTAAGTATTATTGGATCCTCAGATAACCTATTTTCTAGAGAAGGAAACTGAGGCAGAGTGGGGACTCTTGTTTTGATACAAATATCATAACCCATGTCTGATCATCTCTGATATAATCTTTTTTTCTAAATTGTAAGTGTATTTATATAAGAAGCTGTGTAAAGCAATAAAGATGAATTGTTTTATATTTAATGAATAATTTCTCTTAAAAATAATAAATTAGCCCTGGCCAGTGTGCTCAGTGGTTGGAGCATTGGCCTGCGCAAACTGAAGGGTCACAGGTTCTATTCCTAGTCAGGGGCATGTGCCTGGGTTTCAGGTTCAATCCTCGGTTGTGTTTGGGAGACAGCCAATCAATGTATCTCTCTCACATCGATATTTCTCTCTCTCTCTCTCTTCTTCCCCTCCCTGACAAAAAATAAATAGAATAAAATTACATAAAAATTAAAAGATGAAACTTAGCCAAAAAATAAGTTATGTGTAATTGGTGAAAACATTTCTGAAGCACTGACTATGTGCCAGGCACTGTTCTTGGTGCAGGAGATACAGAGGTGAGTAAGGTAAAGTTTTTACCCTCATGCGTGAAAAATCCTAAAATGTTTATTTTATATTGTAAGAGACTGTCTCTGTAATTGTTAATAAGATCAAATTATTAATGTAAGTTTTCAGTATGTAGTAAATACTATATAAATGAAAGATAGCCCTGGCCGTTTTGGCTCAGTGGATAGAGCGTCAGCCTGTGGACTGAAGGGTCCCGGGTTTGATTCTGGTCAAGGGCACATGCCTGGGTCGCAGGCTTGTTCCCCACTAGGGGTCGTGCAGGAGGCAGCTGATCCATGATCCTCTCTCATCAATGATGTTTCTATCACTCTCCCTCTCCCTTCCTCTCTGAATCAATAAAAATATATTTAAAAAAAATAAACGAAAGATAGCTATTATTACTATTTATTATCATCACTAAAACTATTGAATGTTTAGTCAGGTATTACACTTTATGCGTTAGATGCATTATGTCGTTTAATCTTTCTGTTAGTCCTGTTATCCCCATTTCCCTGATGAATCAACTGAGGCCTACCTAGAAAGGTTAAGCCATTGCATTTGTGGTATTTTTAGTGTGCTATGGAATGCCCTGTACATGCAGGGCATTTAGCTTGTTTCTGGGACCCTTGAATTTATTTTTAAAATCCTGTTGGTTTTCTGAGAAGTTTTTGCTGTTTGGTTCCCACACCCCTGAAGCTCACTCAGGTGTTTCCACTATTTTTCCACAGAAGGATTTACTCCTCCATGAAATTCCAAGTAGCACCAGGAAGACAGGCGTGGAGAAAGTGATGGCTAAGGAGATCTGCCAGAAATACCTGGAGAAGAGAGCAGGGGTTCTGCCGGAAGACTGTGCGGAGGCTTTGGCCATGGCCGTCTGCCTCTGCCTGCGGAGGCGGAATGCCAGCCTGGCAGAGGTGAGCTTGATTCTCAGCCTTTCCCCAGCCATGAGCTCTGTCCTGGGTCAGCTGGGTCTCACTTCTGAGGCTGCATGGGTTTGCTTTATCAGAGACTAGGTTAAGATTCAGGGTTGATCCCTTCACTGAGATCTCATAAACCAGGGCTATATTTGGTTGGAAGTAGTAGAACATGTTGGAATTTACATCAGCAAAACAGGGCAGTATATGGATAAGGGTGTCTTACGAGCCCGAGGGCCATGTGCTGCGGGCCTGAGGGGCCCAGGGCCACACCCTTTGGTTATTAACAGAACTCTGGTGCTCTTGCTGAAACTGCCTTATTCCTCCTCTTGTCTCTGTAGGCCCCCTTTCTCTTTTTCTTTATTTTCTTGGTTAGGGGATATGGCCATATTCACTTATATGTTAAAGTTCTGCCCCATGGAGAGACCAAGTCTCCAGGTCCCCATTCCAACATCTCAGTGAGAGAACTTGATTGGCCTAGCTAAGGTCAGGCTGGCCACATTGGCCAGTCAGGTAAGATGAGGGGCACAGGGTCCGGTATATAAACCTGGTGGTCAGGGGAGGTCAATTCCTGAAAGGAAAAGGGGCTAGACCAGGGGTGGGCAAACTTTTTGACTCGAGGGCCACAATGGGTTCTTAAACTGGACCGGAGGGCCAGAACAAAAGCATGGATGGAGTGTTTGTGTGAACTAATATAAATTCAAAGTAAACATCATTACATAAAAGGGCACGGTCTTTTTTTTCAATAGTTTTATTCATTTCAAACGGGCCGGATCTTGCCCGCGGGCCGTAGTTTGCCCACGGCTGGGCTAGGCCCTAGAGAAAGGGAGCATTTTTAGCTTGTGGGCTAGGCAGACACCCCAGAAATTAACCACCACAGGAGGTAAAACATATTGTTATGGCTAGGATATGTAAAGATGGTTTCCATGGTAATAGGTATAAATTTGGACACTTGCCTGGTCTTTTTAAGGTCAAAATTACTGCTTGAGAGTGCTTAGAGATAATCTAGCTGAGTGATTTTCAAGTGGTGTCTGGCAGAGTGGGGGTCCTTGAAAGTACCTCAGGAGTTGCTGTTGGCAGCAAGAGGACTATAGGGAGCTGTAGGCCCCACTTGTGGCTTCAATCAGACACCACTTTAACTTCTTATAATTATACTAGAGGCCCGGTGCACAAAAATTTGTACACTCGGGGGGTTCCCTCAGCCCGGCCTGTGCCCTCTTGCAGTCTGGGACCCCTTGGGGGATGTCCACCTGCTGGCTTAGGGGGATTAGGCCTAAGCTGGCAGACAGACATCCCTCTGGCAGCCTGGGAGCCCTCAGGGGATGTCCACTTGCCAGCAGGGAGCAGGCCTAAGCTGCAGTCGGACATCCTTAATGCTCCTGAGGAGGTGGGAGAGAATCCCGCCACCACCGCTGTGCTGGCAGCCGTCAGCCTGGCTTGTGGCTGAGCAGAGCTCCCCCTGTGGGAGTGCACTGACCACCAGGGGGCATCTCCTGCATTGAGCATCTGCCCCATGGTGGTCAGTGTGTGTCATAGTGACCAGTCATTCATAGTCGTTCTGCTGTTAGGGTCAATTTGCATATTACCCTTTTATTATAGAGGATAGGGTTTGTGATAGCTGCCAAAAGTCTTCATCAAACACAACTGCTATAGCCCAAGCCTCCCATTTTATAGATGGGGACATAGAGGCCCAGAGAGAGGAGATGATGAGGCCACAGAGTAAGTTTCTGTCAGAGCTCTCTGGACTCCTGGTTCAGCCCCATATCCATCATCATCTTGCACCATGATGTGGCAGGAACTAGAGACCCGAGTCATTGTTCTAAGCCTGAGCTATTCTATGCTCTAGTGCAGCCGTGGGCAAACTATGGCCCGGGGCTGGATCCGGCCCATTTGAAATGAATAAAACTATTGAAAAAAAAGACCGTACCCTTTTATGTAATGATGTTTACTTTGAATTTATATTAGGTCACACAAACACTCCATCCATGCTTTTGTTCCGGCCCTCCGGTCCAGTTTAAGAACCCATTGTGGCCCTCGAGTCAAAAAGTTTGCCCACCCCTGCTCTAGTGCAATAGCGTTCAGTCATTCATTCAGCAGTTGTGTGCTGGGCACGGGGGATATGTCAGTGAACAAGGCCAGTTCTATTTCCTGGAACTCACAGACATTGCTCAGTAATTGACTGTGTGGTGAGCTCTGGGATAGTGTATGACAGGGGCCCCACCAACGAGGACTTTCCCTAGGAAGTGTAAGCTGATGAAGAACCGTCCCAGCAGAACAGCTCATGCAAATATGTAGCGTGAGTTGGGAGAGAGCTTGGCAGGGTCAGGAGAGAAGGTCAGAGAGTCTGGAACGCAAAGTACTTGGGGCAAAGTGGCTTGTGATGAGTCTGCTGAGGAAGGAGTGGCCAATAATAGAGGTTGTGCAAGCACAGTCAGGATTTTGAGGAAGTCAATATGGGCTTAAGCAGGGGCAGGGCATAGTAAGATTTATGTTCTAAAAATATTTTTCTCCTCAACCACTTATTCTTTCATTCAGCCTTCCATTGGGTTTATTTTTTGTTCAGTGTATTAGTTAAAGTGCTTGAAGAAACTGCTATAATGAAGAGACTCCAAAATACAGTAGTTTGGAGATAGAAGATTATTCTCTTTAGCTTACGAGTTTGAATGTAGGCAGTCCAGAGCTGCCACAGGATTGGGGATCCAGGCTCCTATATTCTTGCTCTGCTGTCCTTACTGTGTGGCTTCTGTTTCAGAGACCAAGATAGCTGCTCTAGCTCAGGTCATCACATCTGCCAGCAACTGAAAGGGGTTGAAAGGAATAGAACACATCCCCTTCCTTTTAAAGGTGTGACCTGGAAATACACATGTAACTTTCTCTCACACTGCATAGGCTAGAACCTCGTGATATGGCCATACCTAGTTACAGAGGAATGTAGTTTTTAGTGTGGCAAGTATTTATTGGACATATACTCTGAAGATTTATCTCAAGAGGTGACATTTGAACTGGGCCTTGAAGGTTGAGGAGGCATTTGCAATGTAGAATAAAGGGGGTAGAGCACTTTAAGTATTAGGAAGATGAGAGATCAATTGGGTCATGGACTTTAAGACAAGTAGGACTGGGTTCAGTGGTCAACTCTGCTGGTTACTAGCTGGGTGGCCTTAGGCAGGGAATTTAACCTCTTAGATCTTTTAATTTTTTTAATCTATAAAAACTCATTGTGCATCATGTGTCAAATGTGGTTTGTAAATTGCAAGGCACTGAGCAAATGAGATTTGTTAGGGTTGTTAAGGGTATGTATGTTTTAGGCCCATTGTGTGTGTTTGTGTGTAAAGAAGAACATTCCTTCCCTGCCTTTCTCTAATTTTCCTAACTTCCCTAACCAGAAGAGCTCTCAAGGACAGTATCTATATTATTTTGGGCATTTCTAGTTGAAAGTGATAGAAACTCTACTCAAGCTCTTAGAAACACATGAGAAAGAGAGAGAGAGAGAGAGAGAGAGAGAGAGAGAGAGAGAGAGAGAGAAAGAGAGAGAGAGAGAGAGAGAGAGAAGGAGAAAGGGAGTGAGATGGGGATGATGTGAACAAGTGAATGAATGAATGCATTTATTAGCTCATTTAACCAAACAGCAGACAGGACAGGCACTGCTAGGGTAGCTAGAATCAGGGTCTCAACCAGAAAATGTGCAACTACCTGTGTCAGTGCCCGTGACTCTTTCTCTCCATCTTTTGCCTCTGCTTTACTCTGTGTTAGGGCTTCATTTTCACCTATTATAAATGGATTTTCTGTGCATGGTAGAAAATCTGGCTGTCACTAAAAAGCTTTAGGTGGGAAAAATCCCAGAGAATGGTTTTGATTGGCCTGCACTAGTCATGTGCCCAAACCTGAACCAATCATTGAGGTTAGAGGAATGGGATACTGTGATTGGTTCACTCTGGTCATGTGGTCTTATCTATAGCTAGGGTAGATGGGGCAACTTCAGCTCTTTTCAAAAGAAGGACACTGTTCTTCCAGGCCAAAGCAACAAGCATTTGATTCTTCAGTGTCTTTTTCTTCTGAGGCCTGAGAGACCTATTAGATTTTTTATTTCAGAAAGAATTCTTGGTGAGTTTTCTTGTCTCTCTCCTCTCCAAGGTGTGTGGCGCTGTGGTTGCTGTGGAAGA